CCCCCCCCGGGACAGCGGCTAGGGCAGGGGCACCCACTCTAGCTGAGCGACGGTGCCCCCGCCCTGGGTCTGTCTCCTCCTCCCTGCCCCAGAGGTGGCCCCCAGCCCCTGCCCCACACCAGGCTCCCGCCCCCGGGCCCAGCCACTCACTGGTTCAGGATCACGAGCACGGCGGCGCCATCCGGGCGCAGGAAGGCCACGGACTCCAAGCTAGGCTGGCAGCTCTTCTTCGAGACGACCAGCCCGATGCGCTGGGAGCCCTCGGGGATGAATTTGCTGCACAGACAAGAGGAGAAGGTGAGCACAGGGGGGAGGAAAGAGCCAGGCCCCAGGCCCCGGGGATGAGGCTGCAGCCTGGGGTAGGAGGGAGCCAAGTGTGCCCCCCCCGGGCCCTGCTGTGACGGCTCGACCCAAAATCCCCCCCAGGTGTGAGCACAAGCATAAGGAGGCGGCAGAATTCACCGAGTGTCCCCGGACCCTGCCGGCCTGGACGTGAACCGCCGGAGATCGGCCCTCGTCTCCCCTCCGCACACAACGCCATGAAGCAGATCAGCCCAAACACACGGGGATTCTAGCACGGCCTGGGAACCGGCTCCGATCCCAGCGCGTGGAAGGACAGGAAACATGGCGCCGAAACCCTTACGGAAAAAACTGGTGCATCGAATGCCAGGCCTGATGAGCAGCCAAACAATGTGGAAAAACACCAGGCCCTCCCAGCCACATCCTGCCTTTTTTGGAGGGGCGGGGGGGGAACTCATCTTCCCTGGACCTCGAGACCAAAGTACAGACAGGCTGAAAGCCCTCTCAAGGCCCTGCGGTTGTCACCTGTGCACCCTCCGCTCCGTGGCGCCCTCCACTCCCATCAGCTCCCCCCGCCTCCCATTCCTGGCGTGTTACTTTCTGCCTCGCTGGTTCCCGCCACCGCCCATCAGCTCTTCTGCCAGCCCTGAAATCGGAGCACGGGCCGGCCCAAGAAAAGACCCACCCTAGCGATGCCTCTGTCCAGAACGCAGGCCAGGGGCCGGGAGAAATCTGCCAGCATAATCGGACCGTGGCAGGTTCCCTAGAACAGCTCGTTTAACCACCAGGCTGAGAAACTGAGTGAACCCCAGGACACAGCCCGGCTCTCTCGGGATCCGTTTGCGGGGGACTCCTGAGAGCGAACTCGCCAGCACTCGGGGACGGAGCCGGCTGCTGTGACGAGGCAGCGGGGCCCCGCAGCCCAGCCCTCGGGAACGCCCCCGCTCACCTGAAATGCCCCATGTGGTAGAACATGGGCTGCTTGTAGAAAAGATCCTTTTTCCTGTCCC